GCTGGACGGTGGTGACCCACTGGATGCAGGGCCAGGAAGCCGGTGGATCTCACCGGCTCCGCTACCACTGAGAGTGGCAACAATGACGCTCTCTGATCTTTCACGTTGCCACGCGCCACCCTCGATTTCGTCAAGCGTCGGCACTGGCGCAGCACTGTATAACAGACGCTCCAAGTGAGCGTCGGTGGGTGGGAAAGGAAGGGAAGATACTGGTATATCTGGTGTTGGGAAAAGAGGGGGGAAACGGGGTAAGCCAGCCCGAGCAGGATATGGCTGCAGCGGGGCGGGAAAGTGAACAGGTCACTGGGGCTGAAGGGAAGCGCTAAGGCATAGGATGCACTATGCAAACACAAGGAGAGAGGAGAGAGGAGGAGGAGGAGGAGAGAGGAGAGAGGAGGAGGAGGAGGACGCGTCGCCGAAGCCCCTCGGAGAAACCGTCCATGGCGGGGGAGGGCGCTCGGACGTGGATGAGCTCTGCGGTGAGCGGGCCGGACGGGCCCCCCACGCAGGCGGCCCTCGCGGCCGCGACCGGGGGCTGCGCGGCGCTGTGGCCGCAGAGAGGCGCGCCCTGGCCGTCGCGAGCGCGCGCCGCGGCGAGGAGGCACGGCCGTCGGACCCGGACCCCGTCACGACGAGAGGCTTTTCGTTATGCTCGGCCCTTGGGTTGGGCGCCCGAGCTATCCGGGGCAACTCGGGTCCGGGGTAACTCGGGTTCGGAATCCAGACAAAGCCAACCCGAGTTAGCCCTGACCCGAGCTACCCCTGATGATTCGGGGCTCTGGACGCCCGAATTATCCGGGGCAACTCGGGTCCGGGGTAAGAGGGGTTCGGAATCCGGAACAACGAACCCGAGTTAGCCCTGACCCGAGCTACCCCGGATGATTCGGGGCTCTGACTGGGGGCCCTGGCCGACCCTGGGGAACGCCAACAAAAGCGACTCGGAATGAGCAGCCCGTCCCCGGGAATGGGTCGAGACCTCCGGGGGGTCAGGGTGATAAAACAAATCATGGCGTCGGGCGGAGAACGCACCATTGCCCGACGCGTGGAAAACGGAGTCCTTCAAAGACGCCCACTGAGTACACCGCTTGCTTTGCATGAGAGCCCTTGGAGCGTTCACAGGGACGATCGTAGAACATGCGGAGCGAAGCCGAATACACTCTCGAGTGACAAGAAGCCGACCAACACTGGTTGAATATGGCATGCGAGCGCCGTGTTTTGCTTGCCATGAGCCTTCATACTCCCCGTCTGCCTGGCCATACGCCTCCATGTCTTGGCCCGCAAAGCGGCATGCAAGCGCAGCCTACATGCTTCTTCGCTCTGCCCATAAGCATCGCAGCTGCCGCATACACACTGACCGCAGTAATCGGGCCGACGATGGTCGCAACCTAGAAGGAGGAGGGTATGATGCGAGAAGATGGATGATGGTGGTGACGCAGATGATCTGGAAGGACGGGAGAGGAGAGAGGGAGAGAGGATGAGCGGAGCAGGGCGGGGGGAACAATGAGGAGATGAGGGCACGATGTGGAGGATGCGCATTAGGACGAGGAGGATAATAAAGTGGAAAGGCGGCGCGAAGGAGGTCGATGAGTAGGACAAGGGTAATCTATTGACGTAAGGGGGAAGGGCGAAGGGGAAGCGAAGAATAGAAGAGGTGGGGGAAGACGAGGGAGGTGGGCGAGGACGAGGACGAGGGAGAGGGATGAGAAGTTGTAGAAAAAAAGGGAACAGAGGAAGGAGGGGAATACTCTATCCCACGCCGCTGGCGACTCGATGTTTTGACCACCCTCCCCGGGACCGCTACTCATTATTGTATGAGTATTGTTCGACGGTCCTGGGTCACGAAGACTGGCCCTGAAGGCGAAAATATCGAAACACCTTCAGCACGAAATGTCCGAGTCGCCAGAGGTCTGGGATTCTCGAGCCGTTCGGCAAGGTAGGTCTCTCCGGGCGGCCTTCGCTTTCGGGATCTCCACGAAGTCAGACCCGGCATGCTTGGTCTTGGTGCCCTCCAGCAACTCCTGCAGAGGCCCAACGGAAGAGGAGGAGAAAACGAAGAGCAAAGGCGTGTAGGAAGAATGCAGAAGATGGTAGACTGGAGGAGGAGGAGAAGACAGAGGAAGATGGAGAAAGACGACAAGGATGATACGGGGGATGAGGTGGAGAAGTAGGTGCAGGAGCGCGGGGAAAGGGAGTTGGAGAAGAGCCCTCTCTTGACTTTCTCCTGCCATCTGTCTCTCTCTCTCTCTCTGTATCTACTTCTGCAGTGCCCTGTTGTGTGATCATCTCCCTCCTCCTTTTCATTATCCCTCCCCTTGCCCTGCCCCTTCGCCTCGCCACATTCTCCGCCGCCTCTTCCGCCTCCTCCCACTTCTCTGCCTCCGCCTCCTCCTCCTCCTCCTCCTCATCCCCCTCCTCCATCTGCTCTTCGTCCTCACGTTCGCGTGACATTCCGATTCCCGTTCCCATGGGCTCTTCTGTTTGCAGTTGCCCTCGCCGTTGCCCTCGCCATTGCTATGCCTCTTCTCATTTCCCCTTCACTATCCCCTTTCGTCTCCTCTGTGTCTTCGTTGTCACGTTCGCTGTCGCCCTACTTCTCCTATTGCTCACCCTCTTTAAATTCACCATCGCATCCCCTTCCTCGTCGTTGATTTTCTCATCTGCGTCTTCCTCTTCGCTGCTGGTTTCATAAGCATCCAGCGCCTTCTTTCGCTTCACCTGTCTATCCCCTCGTCAACTTCCTCCTCGTAAAACTCCTCTTCCTTTTCATCCCCAACACCCCCTATTCATACACACACTCGCCCCCCTCTCCGTCATCCTATTTTTTCTCGTCACTGCCCTCGCCCTTCCCCTCTCCCTCTGCCGCACCATACCCTATCTCAACATATTGCCCGCTTCTTCTGGTGAATGCAAAAGCAGCGCGCCTACCAACGCAACGCTCATACCGTACATCTGCCCCTGTACTCCCTCCCCCCTGCTCCGTCCTGCCCTGCCATCCGCATCCTCCCCCTCCTCCTTCTCGGTGCCGTGCAAGCTGGCCACCACCACATCCACCGCCCTCTTGGTTCCCTGCCAGGCCCTGACCACGTCGAGGGCTCCTCCTCCTCCCCCTCCTGCTCCTCCTCCTCATCCTCCTCTTCCTCCTTACTCATCCCACCTTCTATGCCACCTCCGGCCCGCTTCCTCTCTCCTCCTCCTGACGATGACCCCCCCCTCCTCTCTCCTCATCCCTCCGCCTCTTGCTTCTCCTCTTCATCCTCTTCCTTCTTCTTCCCCCTTTCTTCCTCCTGCTCCTGATCCTCCTTACTCATCCCATCTTCCGTTCCACCTCCTGCCCGCTTCCTCTCACCCCTTCCTCCCACCTCGTCCTAATCTGCTCCGCCTTCTCTACTTCCACGTCTTTTCCTCATCCTCCTCCTGCTCGTCCTCCTCCTCATCATCGTCTCCCTTTTTCTCCATCTCCTCCTCCTCCTTCGCCTCCTCCTCCTCCTCCTCCTCCTCCTCAACTCCCCCTACACCTCCTCCGACGACGACCACGAAAGAGATGCCGACGGCGGGGATGATGACGACGACGACGACGACGACGACGACGACGACGACGACGGCGACCTGCGCTCCGCTGCCTGTTACCGCCGATGGCCGCCGAAGGCGGCTGGAAGCCGCGCAAGGCCCCGAAAGGCTGCCAGAGCGTCCGCCGGACGGAAGTGCCGCCGCAGGGAGTCGCCGAGGAGAGCCGCCGAGAAGCGCCGCAGGAACCAAGGCCACGCCAACGGCGATGTTGCTCAACGGTGATGTTTTGGAAACCACTGTAGGAAATCGCGAACCACACTTCCCTGCATTTCCGATCTGCGGAAATACTGAACGACGACGACACGGCGAATTGCAGGAATGCGCGAGCCGCGCGTTCCCACCGTGCCAACACACCACAATACCGAAACCTACATCGCCGTTACCTGCATCGCCGTTAGCGCGTCTGCGGGCAGTGACAGGTGGTGGACGATCAGAAACGGGCCCTACGCGAGATGACACAGCGACCCTGCGCGGCGGCTGACGCGGGTCGCCCGCGCGGCTGCTGCATTTGAGCAGGGACCGCCGGGCCCGGAATTCCTATATTCCTACCGCGAAATGTTCTTAGAACCCCAAAACATCTAATAGCAAGAGCAATGTTCTTAGAACATAAACCCGGTGTGATAAAACAAGACAGACTGCGCCAGAACTGTTCTAAGAACATTTCGTGGAAACCACAACAGGTTCTTAGAACATTGTTTGGTAGGGCTATAGGCGAGCCAAGACGCTTCGCCACTGCTCGATGCATTGGAGGCGAGGGCGCTTCCGCGCGACCTTGCGCGAGCGGCTGACGCACTGATGCCGGCGCAGGCGTCCCCGCTTTTTTTGCGTCGCTCAGGTGGCGACGTCCGATCGCGAACCACCGGTTCTCTTGCATCGCAGGGGCTGGCGGGGGGACGCCCTGCAACAAGCGCGTCCCCCCATCGCAAAGCAGCTGCTGGCGACTGGCCTGGATCCAGGGCGTCGAGGCACGCGGGCCCCCCATGGCGTCGAGCAGCGCCCGTTCTCGATGGCGTTGGCGAGCCGGGGCACCCTGCGAGCGGTGGAACGCGCTCGGTGCGCCTTGGACCTCGACGCGTGCCCGACGACTTCCGCGCCCCACCCGCCGCCGCCCGGCGGGTTGCCCCCTCTATGGCTGGCTGGCGAGGCTCCAGGAACGAGGACAGGCGACACCAACACCAGCATGGCGAGGAGATGCGCGGAGGCAAGGGGAGTCTCCCTGGTGGCGTGCCCCCCCCCCCCCCCCCCCCCCTCGCTCGAGACATCCCCAGTCTCCCGCTCGGGGAGGCATTGTGGACCTCCTTGCTGGAGGTGGGCCCCCTGGTGGTGTTGGTATCGCTTCTCCTCCCTCCGAGGCTCGGGCCGAGGCCATCGCCGCGCGGGGGGAGGGGCCGCGGGGGGGGGGGGGGGGCTCATGATGAGCTCCCTGGCCTTCTTCACCGGCCTGCCCGAGGCGGGGGCCGCCGCCCATGTCCTCCTCCCGCCTCCTCCTCCTCCTCCCTTTCCTCCACCTCCACCTCCACCTCCTCTCCTCCTCCTCCTCCTCCTCCTCCTCCTCCTCCTCCTCCTCCTCCTCCTCCTCCCCCTCCCCCTTCTCCTCCTCCTCCTCCTCCTCCTCCTCCTCCTCCTCCTCCTCCTCCTCCATCTCCTCCTCCGGTTCCTCCTCCTCCTCCTCCTCCTCCTCCTCCTCCTCCTCCTCCCCTCCTCCCCCTCCTCCTCCTCCCTCCTCCTCCTCCTCCTCCTCCTCCTCCTCCTCCTCCTCCTCCTCCTCCTCCTCCTCCTCCTCCTCCTCCTCCCCTCTCCCCCGTGATGAGAAGGGGCCCTCTCAGAAGGGCCCGCGTGTGATTGTTCAAGCAAGAGAGACTCGAGAGTGAGAGTGCGATGCAACCAGAACTCAAGTGTGTGATCACACTCTCTGTCACGCTCAAATGTTTGATCACAGGGTTGTTCATCACACTTGATAGCGTTTGTGTTTGCTTGTTTTCTATATATGTGTATACACATATCTCTATAAATATGTTGTTGTGGAAAAAAGAAAAAACAGAGCTGTTGTATCAAACTTGAGTTTTCATCACACTGGAGTTTTCGATTCAAAAAATCAAGCTTGAGTTGTTGTTATCAGACTTGCGACCCTCTGCGCAGGCGGCGGGAGGCGATGGCCAGGGGCTCTTCTGCTCACGCGGCGGCGCGGCGGCCCCTAGCAGTCCCATCGTTGATGTTTAAGTTTAAGTGTGTTTAACATGTCGGGGAAATGTCCTGAGCATGTCTTAAACATATTAAAAGCATGTTTAAGACATGTTTAAGACATCTGGAATGGTTTGGCTACATGTTTCCTCTCCATTGATCGTCCTCCACACCTTTAGACACAGTGTACGGCAATCATCTCGCTTGCAAGGCGCCTACACTTGTACGCACCTTCGCCACAGCTGCAGAACGTTGACATGTGAAATCAGTAGTTGTGGGGGCTGGGATCGGTTTCCCACTGTTCGGAATGGCGCTGGGCAAGAACTGGCGGAGCGACACGCTGAGCCGAAGCTCCCGACCGAATGGGGGGGGATCCTGGAAACCTAACGCGGCAACTCGAGGCCAAAATTACGTCGGAGTCACGCCGGACAAACGTCGGACTCACGCAAGATTTACGCTGGACTCGTCGTCAGGAACTTTGTTGCTTAGCGTGTCGCGGCGGCGCCACCAGCGGCACGCTATGCTCTGCAAGCGGATAGCGTGTCGCTCCGCCCCGCGGGGCTGATGATAATGATGCTGATGATGCTGATGCTGATGATGATGATGATGATGATGATGATGATGATGATGATGATGATGATGATGATGATGATGATGATGATGATGATGATGATGATGATGATGATGATGATGAGGGAGGAGGAGGAGGGGAGGGGGAGGGGAGGGGGGAGGGGAGGAGGAGGGGGGGAGGAGGAGGAGTAGGAGGAGGAGGAGGAGGAGGAGGCGGAGGGGGAGAGGAGGAGGAAGGGGAGGGAGAGGGGGCTGAAGAGGACTGGGAAAGGGGCGGCGTGCCGCGCCGAAGCGCGGAGGGCCAGCACCAGCGGAGCGACGAGCGGTCCCAAAGCCGTCTGGGGCAGGAGCCCAGGCCTCCGAGCGGCCACGTTCTGATGTTGTTTCTGTTTGGTATAAACAAATCAGCCCCCCCCGCCCCCCGCCCCCCAGCCTTGCAACACACACACACACATCTCCGATGATCCTCCCCCACTTGCCTTCTGCGGCAGCCGCCCCCTTTCCTCTGTTCGGCTCACCGCGCCCTCCTGCTGCGCAGCGCTCATGCTTGTTCTAGCCGACGTCCTTCCACCCACCACCTCCGACTCGCTCCTGGCCCCCCCCCCCCTGTGACCTCTCCCTCCTTGCTCTTCCCCCCTCCTCTTCCATGTCATCCTTCCTCCCCCGGAATGCCATTCCTTGCGTTCTCACTCCCCGTGAGTGACAAGAGCTGCCCTCAATTCCTTGAACGTTTCAATGTTTGCACGCTTGGCCGTGAAGAGCCACATTCCGCCGACTGCTCCTGGTCAACGCGGTACGGACCATCAGGCGACTCCCCGCGCCCGTGCAGATATGCGGTATGCATCACCAGTCCGTTTTGAGTTCGATACGAACGCAATCCAACTTACGACATCCGGTTCTGATATGTTATGATATCTGCTTTTCGTTTGCATCACCCCGTTCATGTACCGTTTGCCCGATGTGGCCTCGGGCAAACTGCAATTTGGAGTAATTCGATGTTTATCCATCGTCGTCCTCGTCGTCTTCGTCGCCGTCTCCACGTCCATCCCTGTTAGGGTGGACGGCACCTGTCCCCGACCTGCCCTCCGTGCCGCCGAGGGCGCTGGGGTCGCGATGAGAGCGCGGTGCCTGACCGAGAGGGGAGGCATGGCGCTGCTGCTGCTGCTGCTGCTGCTGCTGCTGGTTCCTGGTGGCTTCGAAGGTCGGTGAACGCAGCCTCCCCCTCCAGGCCGGTCGGCCTGCGGGGGGGTGAGCAAACTAGGGCCGGCACCGCTCCTCCTCCTCCTCCTCCTTCTCCTCCTCCTCCTCCTCCTCCTCGTCCTACTCCTCCTCCTTCTACTCCTCCTTCTCCTCCTTCTCCTCCTCTTCCTCCCCCTCCTCCTCCTCCTCCTCCTCCTCCTCCTCCTCCTCCTCCTCCTCCTCCTCCTCCCCATCCTCATTTCTCTCCATCTCTCTCTCTCTCACTCTTGCACCCGTTCCCCTCCCAACTCCTGGCCGTCCTTGCGGCACCTGCCGCCCTCCCACATCGTGCTCCGTCTTTCTCCCCCGACCCCCCCACCCTCCATCTTCTCCTGCAGCTCATTCCCATCCTCGTTCTCGTCATGCTCCTCATCCTCCTCCTCCTCCTCGTACTCCTCCTCCTCTCCTCCTCCCTCTTCTTCTTCTTCTTCTTCTTCTTCCTCCTTCCTCCTCTCCTCCTCTCCTCTCTCCTCCTCTCCTCCTCCTCCCTCCTCCCCCTCCTCCTCCTCCTCCTCCTCCTCTTCCTCTTCTTCCTCTTCTTCCTCCTCCTCCTCGTCCTCCTCCTCCTCCTCCTCCTCCTCCCTCCTCCTCCTCTCCTCCTCCTCCTCCTCCTCCTCCTCCTCCTCCCCGTGCTCCTCCGCCCCCGTCCCCGTCGTCATCCAGTCTCCCTCGCCCGAAGATCTCTTCCCACCGTCGCGGGTGACAACCTGAAGCGTAGGATCAAACCATGTCGGTTGGACCCCCACTCGGGGGGTCTCGGGCTCGAAGAACCGCGGGGCCGCGTGGGGGGTGCACTGGGATCGCGACGGATCCTGGAAAAAGGCTCCTGGGGACATCCTCGGGCTCTGCCTGGATGAGTCACTGGAGAAATCTGAGGAGGCCTCAGTGGGCTCTTCTGAGTCACTGGGCTCTTCTTGAGTCACTGGGCTCTTCTGCCTGAATGAGTCACAGCGCTGGCTCAGTGTTCCCAGAGGCCTCGCTGGCAACGACTGCTACTGGGAAGCCCGAAGGCAGATCCTGCGAGGCACGGTCAGGAACGTTTGCACGTCGCGGCGGGGCGGCCCCGGCGACACGCTGTGCCTGGCACGCGGATGGCGTGTCGCTCCGCCCCGCGGGGCGGGAGCCGCGGAACAGCTGGGGCTGTGGACGCGCGGGGGCCGGGAAGTGGACGGCGTGTCGTGCCGAAGCGTGGCGGGCCAGGACCGGCGGGAGCGACGCGCTATGCCAAGGTGCCCAATCGTACCTGCTGGAGGGAAGCCTGCATCGCAGCCTCCCCCCGGGAGAGAGACGAGCAGGAGCAGAAGGAGGAAGAGCAGCAGTAGCACCTCGACTGCCCCGGCAGTGTCAGCCTACAGCGCAGGCGTGGATCTGGATCAAGCCCGTGAGTACCCGTCTGTGGACATTCGGTCCTCTGATTGGCCTCAAGGCGGTGCAGTGCAGACAGAGAAGGCGGGAAGGGGGAGGAGGAAGGGACGGAGCATGGGAGGGTGGTGGTGGGGGAGTGGGGGGCAGGGGGGAACGGATAACTCGGCTTGCCAGAGCCACCCTGGGCGGGGGTCGTGCCTCTGACTCCTGCTCCTCTCCTCCTTCTCTTTGTCCGATTCCTCCTCCTCCTCCTCCTCCTCCTCCTCCCCTCCTCCTCCTCCTCCTCCTCCTCCTCCTCCTCCTCCTCCTGCTCCTCCTCCTCTGTCTCCTCCTCCTCCTCGTCCTCCTCCTCCTCCTTGTCCTCGTCCTCCTCATCTTTCCACTCCTCCTGATCCTCCTCTCCCTTCTCCTCATCCTCCTTCTCCTTCTCTTCCTGATCCTCCTGCTCCTCCTGCTCCTGCTCCTGCTCCTCCTGCTCCTGCCCCCTCCTCCTCCTCCTCCTCCTCCTCCCCTCCTCCTCCTCCTCCTCCTCCTCCTCCTCCTCCTCCTCCTCCTCCTCCTCCTCCTGGAACACGGCAGTGCCCAAGAAGATTCTTCGTCGCTCGCCGTCGGCCTCCGGCCCGATGCTTCGGAGACGTCCGAGAGAGGGCCTCGTGGGACACTCCTGGGGAGTTCTGGCGTCACTCAGGTAAGACGAAACCAGGACGAGGATAAAGTCTGTTGACGATAAATCGAGAATCTCTGAGATCCAGCAGATCTGGAATCTAGAGGATGTCTCGGGCGCCTCGGCCTCCTCAGAGCGTTCCAAAACGCTCTGAGAGCGTTCTGGAACGCTCTGGAGTAGATTCATCCTCGTCCTAGCCCCGCCCGATCAGGTCCTCTTGGACATCAGCGCCGGCATTGTCAACCATATTGTTTAGCGCGACCCAGCCCAAGTGGCCACAGATGGGGATAGCTGTGCGATCGAACACTACCTCGACTCGGCCACCAATCATACGAGCGAGCTAGCCCGATCTCCGCCATCTCGATTTTTTTGAGTCGGTGGCCCGCCGAGCTCTCGACCTCATCCCAGGAGGGGGATGATGTTGAAGATGAAGATAAAGATGAGGATGAAGATGAACATGCAGATGATGATGATGATGATGATGATGATGATGATGATGATGATGATGATGACGATGATGATGATGATGATGATGATGATGATGATGATGATGATGATGATGATGATGATGATGATGATGCTGATGATGATGATGATGATGATGATGATGATGATGATGATGGTGACGATGATGATGATGATGATGATGATGATGATGATGATGATGATGACGATGGTGGTGATGGTGACGATGACGATGACGATGATGATGATGATGATGATGATGATGATAATGATGATGCTGATGATGCTGATGATGATGCTGATGATGATGATGCTGATGCTGATGATCATGATGATCATGATGATGCTGATGCTGATGATGAGGAGGAGGCATACTAGGAAGAGGCGGAGGAGGAGGAGAAAGAGGAGGAGGAGGAGGAGGAGGAGGAGGAGAAAGAGGAGGAGGAGGAGGAGGAGGAGGAGGAGGAGGAGGAGGAGGAGGAGGAGCGTCCACTCCGCGTGGCCCCGGGCCCGCCTTGGCAGTGCCAGCGATCTTGACCTGGCAAGGGTCGCTGGTCTGGTCCTCGGCGAGCGTGCTCGTCGTCGGAGGAGGCAGAAATAGACGAGGAAGAGGGAGGAAGGGATGGGGGCGAGAGGCTCCCGCGCACTTCTTAAACATCGAATCGTCTATGTGACCGTCAGAGATCGAAACTCCTGCGGGATCTTTATCGGGCCTGAAGGACTGGGCAGGGGGAAAAGGAAACAATGGCAAGCAGGAGAACGAGGAGGGAGGGGAGGAGGAAGAGGAACATCAAAACAACGGAGAGGGCGGAAAAGGGACGGACATCGGCTTCAAGACAGGGACAGGAATACGCCGGCCCTATGCCAAGCTGGGGAAGGCAGGGGGCCGAATGGCAAGCAATGCCAAGCAACGCCGAGCAACGCCAAGCAACCCCACGCGAGCAACTGGGCGAGGCAAGGCCCGCCCTGTGACGACTGGCGTCGCACCCGACCGCCTCTGACGAGGCCCCCAAGAGGCCCCCAAGAGGCCCCAGAGGGCCTCCAAGAAGACACCACGAGGCCACCAAGAGGCCCCAAGAGGCGCCACCTCGAGCGCGGCCAGGCCAGAGGTCCCTGGCCTGACTTGGTATTGCTCGGAAGCGACAGCGCCGAACCAAGAACCAGCGAAGACCTCCGAACACTTCGAACCTCACACCTCTTCTCGCCTCGCTGCGCGGTGGCGGCCCTCAAACATCAGCAGCGCCCCTGAGCGGCGGCACAGGCCGCAGGCCATTGCATAAAACTTCCTTCTGCATACTGAAGTGGCCTTTGGGGAACAACGGGATAACTGGTGCCTAACGGCTACGAGCAATCAGTCAGTCGCACTTCGCGACGAATCCGAGCGACGTCCGTAAATACGCTTGGATTCATCGCCCTGTTACGTCGCACTTCGCGACGAATCCGAGCGACGTCCGTAAATACGCTTGGATTCATCGCCCTGTTACGTGACCCCAGAGATTTCGGGGACCGATCCGGCTAGCTCCCACAGGTGACGTCGCGAGCTCCGGTCAAGAATGACTCCATGGTGACGTGCTCCTTCGGGTTGCTTTACGACGGCGGATGACAGGGGTCCGAGTGAGAGGTAGGAGGGCTCCAGACAACACACCGCAAGCAGCGCTGGCCATAAAACAGGGCTAGGATCGGGATAAATCGCTCCAGAGCGTTCCAGAGCGCTCTCAGAGCGTTCCGGAACGCTCTGGAGCGGCCGCGGCGCCCAATACATCCTCCAAGCCCGCCGATTCTCAGAGATTTCGAGTTCTCCCGATCCGATTTTGTCCCGATCTTCGCGTCGTTTTAGGCCAGGCCTGTCGTGGGACCTGGACTGGTGTGCGGGCCTTCCCAGCCGAGGCCAGGAACTCTGCACGCCGACCCGGGGCCCAGGAAGGGCCTGGCCGGCATCCCATGACCCGGCAGCCTACTACCGCCGTTGTTGGTGTTCTCGCTCGAAGGATTGCAATCCTTCGTTTTTTTTGCAATCCTTTTTTGTTGCAATCCTTCGTATTGTTTTTTTCAATCCTTCGTTTTTTGTGCAATCCTTCGTTTTTTGTTTTGCAATCCTTCGGGTTGCTTTTTTTTTGTTTTACAATCCTTCGTTTTTTTTGCAAGCGCAGGAAACGCTGGAGCCTGCTCCTTAACAGACTTAGCCGAAGCAGCAACGTCCGGAGCCGCTCCCCTCGCGAAATCAAACCCTTCATGGTCAGGCTCGGTGGTGGTGTACACTTGGCGTCCCTCCGAAAGGGGAGCTCCCCAAACCCCCGACTTCACGATTTCTTCCTTGCGCGACCCCCAACAGAAGTCCGGACCTACTCGCCAGGACCGGTTGTGCATCCCGAGTCGTTTTGTTGACGGCCCCGAGGGCGGGCAAGGGCCCCCCGAGGCCGAAAATATCGAAAAACCTCCCGTCGCGATTTTTCCATGGCGCGACCCCCAAGAGTCCGGACCTACTCGCCAGGACCGGTGTTGCATCCCGAGTCGTTTTGTGGACGGCCCCGAGGGCCCACAAGGGCCCCCCGAGGCCGAAACTACAGGAAAACCTCCCGTCGCGATTTTTTTCATGGCGCGAGGGGGCCTGGGTCGGAGGCCCCCCCCCTTCCCTTTGGGACGGCGGGGGGAGGAGGAGGAGGAGGAGGAGGAGGAGGAGGAGAGGAGGAGGAGGAGGAGGAGGAGGAGGAGGAGGAGGAGGAGGAGGAGGAGGAGCAGAGCAGGAGGAGGAGGAGGAGGAGGAGGAGGAGGAGGAGGAGGAGGAGGAGGAGGAGACACACGGAGGAGGGCTGCCGCGCGCCCTGACGCTGCCCCCCTGGGCGCGCGCGCGGGAGGCGCGGGGGCGACGGCTGCCCCCCCCTCGGGGGGGCAGCCGCAGAGGAGGGGCGGGCCCAGGTGCGAGAGGGCCAGGCGCGCGCGCGGGGGCCACGCGGGGGGGGGGCCACGCGGGGGCCAAGCGCGCGCGGGGGCCACGCGGGGGGGGGCGAGACCCCCTCGCGTCGTGACAAAAATCACGACGGGAGGTTTTTCGCTGTTTTCGGCCTCTGGGGGCCCCTGCCGGGCCTCGGGAGCGTCAAGAAACGACTCGGGATGCAGAGCCGGTCATGGGGAAAGGGTCGGGACCTCTGGGGGTCGACGTTTTGAAAAAATCATGACGTCGGGGGTCCGGGGGGCGAGGGGGGGGCCGCTGCGGGGGGGGGCAGAGGAGGCCCTAGGGGGCAGGACCAGGGGCAGCTCGCGAGGGCGCAAAAGCACGGGGGGGCCACGCAGTGCACACGTGCGATGCGCGCTCTCGAGACAGGGGGATGCTGGGGCACGGGCGGCCCGCGAGGGCGCAAAAGCACGGGGGGGCCACGCAGTGCACACGTGCGCTGCGCGCTCTCGAGAGAATTAGGGGATAATACTGGGGCACGCTTGGCAGGCGAGGTGGGCGGTCTTACCCAGAACTCCGGAGAGACGCGTACCGTGAGAGCGCTGCGCCGAGAGATCCGAGGGCCCAGGGGGCGCCCAGAGCTTCTGCTGTGGGTCCCTGGACCCCCTCGGGGGACGAGAAGGTTCCGCGAGGCAGGCGCTGCCAGGCCGATGTCTTATCCGGTGCCCCCCACTGTAGGGGGGGACCGTGAAAGGGGGGCCATGCTCGGCGGCGAGCCCAGGGGGAAGTGAGAAGGGGCGGACCTTCTCAGAAGGCTCGACGTCCCCCCGGCCTTCCGAGGAGCCCCGCCGCCTGCTGGGAAGGCCTCCTCCTTCTAATCCTCCCCTCGCTCGCCGCCAACATACCGCCCTCCTCGCAGCATCTCTCTCCTACGTGCCCGAAAGTGGCGAGCGCTTGCGCCATCTTTCGCCAGCGGCACGGGGAAGCCTGCCCTCGCGCCAGGCGGCACCTCCCAGGGCAGGAAAGGCCTCACGGACGCTCGCGCTTGAGGGAGACCGTTCTCTGCCTGAACTGCTCGCCCTGGCTGATGGGCGGGACCAGCCAGTCCCGCGTCTCCCAATTCTGGATCGACTGCTGGATCTCGTCCAATGGCACCTGTATCTCGCGCGCCGACTGCGATCCGGCCTCGCTGAGCGACGGGTCGCCGTCTGTGTGCGTGAGGCGCTTGGTGACGGGTGCGTCTGCGTGGATGCGCATCCGCTGGATGTGGCCCGTGAAGCTCGAGCGGTCGGTTCCGACGAAGACCTTTGCGTACGTGCAGATCAGCTCCTCCACCAGGCCAGTAAGCTTGAAGAACCTCTCGGGGGTGTACAGTTGCTTCTCCTCGGAAAGAAGCATGCCTGTGGCAGATTCGAACAAGTCTGGCCACATCACCAACTTCACACCGTGGCGCTTGGCGAAGCCGTCGAACTGCCCCTGCCGGTCAGTGGCCACGTAAAGCGCGGACGCGTTGGCGATAAGCGGCTTCCAATTCTCGTAGATTTCGTCTGGCGTTCGCTGCGACTGGTGCTCCGCAAAGTCACCGAACCGGGCGTGGAGGGCCACGTAGTCGAACATTCCGAGGTAAAACACGGCCTTCTCGGCGATGTTGAAAGCGTCCGGGTGCCACACGAAGCCATGGCGCAACAGCCCCCAGTCTGCCTCCGTCAGCTCTGGGCGCAGCTCATCGACGGGCCCGCCCTGCAACCACCACTGGCCAAGTCTGAATCCATCCCGCGAGCTGCCGTCCATGAAGATAAATTTGTCAGTGAGCGCTTCATAATCCGAGAGGCGAACATTGTCCTGCTTGAAATGAATCCATCTCAGAGATTTCTCTGCTTTGACCCTGGCCTCATGCCACTTCATGCCGGCCTCGGCCTCGAACTCCTCCATTGTCAGTGTCGGTAATACGCCTTTCAGCTGCGTCACATCGATGAGGTCCTCCACCCTGGTGCTGCCAGTCCAATTGGACGTGTCGCCCACCAGCTCCTTGTTCCAGGGCCCCCAGTCCAGCAAATACATGGGGGTCTTGGGCGGCAGAACCAGCGTGCGGCCGGTGTGGAGGGCTACGATGCCTGTCATCTCCCAGCCTATGCGGATGTTGTTGAGGCCTCCAGCGTCGGGGGTGAACAGCAGGTACTTCCCTGTGGACGGCACTGCAGACGTGGCCCTCCTCCAGTACTTCATACGCTGGAGCACCGAGGCATGGCTCAAGCCGCCAGCCCTGTGGGCCCTCCTCTCGGGGCCTTCGAGCACGAGGGCACTGCTGTGCCAGGCGAGAAGCAGCAGGGACGGCCACGCCCTCGCCATTGCAGCCACCCCCCCGCGACAATGGGACGTTCAGTAAGTTCAGGCCAGCGGCCTGAAGCCACTGTGCCCAGACGACAACGGAGCCGCCCGTTCGCGCGCGCCACGGGAGCTCCCAGATCCGGGGCCTCTGGGCATCGCTGGAGGACCCCTGTGGACTCCGGATCTGGGCGTGGTGGTAAACAAAAAACGCTCGGCGGGAGGTCTCCAAGGGGCGGTTTCTAGCAGGTGCGCCTCGTCGAAAGCCTTGGACGCCGGAATCGCCCGAGCGGCCGCCTGATGCCCAAGGTGGGGTCTGAGAACGAGGTGGACGAAAGAACGGCCCTCGCATTTGGGCATCTCCGACACGATCGAAAGACAAACCCAGAAAGAACTGCTATTAGACCTGCCCTAGCTTGGGCAACGGGCAACGGCAATGCTAAGGACATCCATGGTGAAGGTACCGTGCCTGGCGCAGCGCTGTGCTGCGATGTACTGTACTGTGCCATGCTGTAGCTTGCTGCACTGTTGAACAATGTGTTGAAGCCTGCTGTACCATATAGCGTTGTGGATCCTGGACTTTTAGCTCGACCGTGGCGTTCGCATCTGACCGACCTGATCTGGACTTTTAGCTCGACCTGCCTGAACGCATGGCTCGCCCAGAGCTGGATGCGTGCGGGGCGCTGGCCAATTCCAAAGCGGGACGAACAGACAGAGGGCGCAGGGCGCATGGACGCGCCACAGGATGTGCGAGGGGCGCACCAGGGGAGTCGCTTGGGGAAATAGCGGAAGTACCAGGGGAAGTGCCATGGCCGCGTCAGGGACTTGCCAGGGGACGTGCCGAGGGGCGGGCCAGGGGGCGTACCAAGGGACGTCATGCCAGGGGACGTCCCAGAGGACGCGCCAGGAAATGCGCCACGGAGCGGGCAGGAGAAGCGGAAGAGGACGAGCCAGGGAACGTGGCACGGGTCGCGCCAGTGGGCGCGCCAGCGAACGTAGTAGTGGACGTGTCAGGGGGCGTGCCAATGGAAGCGCCATGGGACACGCCAAGGAAAACACCGAGGAACGCGCCATGGGATACACCAGAGAACGGGCCAAGAGACGACACACCCTGCTCTGCAAGTCTTCGGCAACGATCCCGATCGCAGGGGCCACGACCCCTCGTACGCTGCGTCCGCGCTCCTTTGGCCACGATCCAATGTAAACTACGCTGCGCCCGCGCTCCCAGGGCCAGAATCCCTCGCAGAGCTCGCTGTGTCTTCGCGCTCTACGGCCAACGATCCCCTGCTGCACCCGCGCTCCCAGGGCCACGATCCGCTCTGCAAGAGGTCCTGTGCCCGCGCCCCCGAGGCCAGGATCTCTCGTAGATGCTGCGGCGCCCGCGGGCTCCCAGGGCCACGATCCCTTCTAAGTCACGCTGCGCCCGCGCTCCCAGGAAACGATCCATCCTAGGCTCGGGGGGGCGCAAACATGGATCAACGACCCATGGATTTGGCGTGCGGTCGCCAAATCCATGGATCGGGAGAGGTGCCCTCCCCAAAGTGCGGCCGGTGCCGCCTCGTTCGGCGGCGGAAATCCGCGACGTCCCATGGAAACGGGACCCGTCGCTAATCCACGCCCCCTTGATCCATGTCTGCGATCGCCTGACAGGGCCACGATCCCAGGGCCACGATCCTTCTGCGCTGCGTGCGCTCTCCCAGGGCCACGATACCCCGTACATTGAACTGCGTGCGCGCGCGCTCCCGCCGCGATCCCATTTTTTGAATTACTTTGCGGATGCGCCCCCAAGAGGCTCCTGGGGCATCCTGGAGCGTCCAGGTCTTTCAAGTTCTGGAAACAAGCGCTTCGTTCGGGCATTCTCGACAAGGTTTGCAGGACATATGTTTCACTCGAGACACCCTCAACAAACGAAAATGCAATGTATACTCGGTCCTCGTATAGATTACGCAGAACTGACATGCGTTTCGTCTGAAACATGCTGAGACAACTCCACCCAGCCCGCCTCAACCAGCCAGCTCACCTCACTCGAGGGGGCTGCGGGTCCGGCAGAGGTGAAGCCGCACAAAGGCGCATCTGGCCGTGGCTTGCTTTGGCTCTCTCGCGACGTTGGATGGCTGGGGGTCAGGGGGCCCTGAAATCCGACGTTGCGGAAAACATGTTTTCCCGTCAGCGGCGAGGCGGCGAACTCCGCTCCAGCGAGAAGCTGAACAGGGGCACTAACTAGCGAATTGGCCGGCGGGCATGGAGGGGTGGGGACGGCCGAGAAGAAGAAACAACGCTCAGACGTCGAAGAGTTCGACGATGAGCAGCTGGGGGGGGGGAGCAGCAGCCAAGCGCGCAAGGCAAGTTGCAGAAAACATGCAACACCGGAAAAAAACAGTACTGGAGCCGAGGACCTCATTTTTTTGGCGTCATCAGGAACAGGAGCAGGAACGCGCCGAGTCCGAGGGCCGGTCGGCCAGCAGGCCCCTTGGGGGCAGCGCGGGTGGGCCGGGGTCCGCTTACTGCACTTGCTGGACGAAGGCGCGCGCCCCATACGGAGTCGGAGTCAGAGCACGAGTCGGAGAGATGGGAAAGAACCAAGGGTCGGAGGGATAATAAGAGCCGTAGTCGGAACCTGCAGAAAACCTTCAACCACTCCGCCGACATAACCGAATGCGGGCGATAATGAAGCCCCTGGGATACTAAAGTTCGCGGGTCTGGTGGGGATAATAAAATATTTCCCCGGGGAAGGTAAGTTATGATGATGATGGTGAAGATGATGACGGTGATGAGGGTGATGACGGCACAAAACTCATTCGAGAGATCTCGAGGCTCGTGACTAACTTGGCGCACGACACAAGGCTGACACGAACGATCTCGCGGCTCGTGGCTAAGCAAGCACCTACATTTTGCCAGCGCGAGAGAGGTCCTTGGCCGATCTGGCCAAGAAGCCCATTTCTGAGACTCGCGTAGTAAGGACGGGCGGCAAAGATGCAAGGTCCTTGCAAGGCCCTGATATGGGCCGACATGGCAAGAATGCAAGGGTATAGCAAGATTGCTCATCCCTACCACGCGGGTTGATTGTAATCTTACTAATAGGAGCACGAGCAGGAAGAGAGAAATAATAATTGTGGGAGACGGAAGAGAGAAGAGGATGGCCCCAGGATCGATTTGGGGGAAAAAATGGTTTTGGGAAACAATTGGGAAAATTGTGAAAAAAAACGATTCTTTTTTTCATCATGTTCAGGATCGCATGGAGGGGGTCCATGGTGGGACCCCGCGGGGGATAAACAACCTGGTGATAAAAAAATTCGGAAGCTTGGGCCTGGGCAGCTGCGGGGGCAGAGGAGGAGGAAGAGGAGGAGGAGGAGGAAGGGCCACGAACCGTGTGAGGGGTGCGCTAACAGAACAGATTTCGCTTCTTAACTCACTCCAATGCTCTGCCTGCTCGAACAAGACATGCACAATCAAAATCCAATCGGTCCCTATGGCCCTGACCCGGGAACGGCTAAGAAAATGAGAACCCCATGGCCCTGCCGCGCGTCCGTAACGTCGGCAAACTGAACTGGTGAGAATCCCACAGCCCTGCAACACGCTCGTGATTGCGGAAGCTGGTGTGGTGAGACCACCATGGCCATGTTCAGCGTTTTTGATGCTGTTGCTAGCCAGCATGATATGATAGCAACTTGGATCCCCGCAACTTTCCCGTGGATTCTAAAGTTCGGCCTCCGTGCCTCCCTCCACAATTAAATCATATTGGCCGGAGATAAAACAAAAAATCGGGGGGAAAGGGGGGTACTTTATTATCGCCCGCGCTCGGTTAAATGATCCGGATCGTTGGCCAGAGTCGAACAAAAAAATGATCTCTCTGCGAGGGCTTCAGGGACCGAGACCACGCGAAAGCGCCCGTTGTGAGCTTAACTGCCTCGATACGCCCGTTTTGAAACGCAACACGTACCGTGCTTAAAGCGTCCGTGTCAATACGTTGCGTGTTGGCCCAGCGTAGTGGCCCACGTTTTGGCGAACGTATGGCGTCAGACCTACGTTTTCAATCTACGTGGTGAGCTCTGGATCAATACGCTACGTGTTGCGTGTTGCGTATCGGGGCAGCTAAGGTTGTGAAACACCTGCGACGCCAGGACCTCGGAGGGGCGCGGGGTTTCAGGGACCGAGACCACGCGAAAGCGCCCGTTGTGAAACACCTGCGGCCAGGACCTCGGTGGGGCGCGGAGGTCAGCTTGAGGGGCTGCAGAGCGGGCAAGCTTCGCACACGTCACAAATCTTACCGAGCAGCAACACAGCAAAGCCCCAGGAGAGCAAGGCATTTACAGTGTAGCTCAACATTGACACTGTGGTGGCCAGGGAGCCCCCGCGACATGTCCACACGCGTTGCTCCACCCCGGCGGGATTGGACAGAGGACGTGCTGAGAGCACAAAGGGCAATACCACAAACAAACTAAAGCATCGGTGCTCGCCGATGCTCATCGACGCTAGCCGACGCCACGTCGACGCTCATCCACTCGAAGTCGACGCTCGTCGGCGCCAGATCGGCGGGCTCTCACCGACTGCCAGACGCTAGTCGACGCACGCTAGGGCGCTCGAAAGACGGAGTTGCGAAGGCACGCGCGGAAGATCCGAGATGCACGGATGCCCCAGTGCCACCTGCAGGCGGGGCACCTGCGCGGGGACTTTCGGGTCAGGCGAAAGGGGGGGATAGCAAAGGGGGGGATTGAGAATCAGCTCGCGTAGCTGATTTTCCCGGCGCCTCCCGGCGCCGGAGGCGGCTATGTATCGAGGAATGGGCCTGGCGGCGGGGCCGGAACCAGCTGCATGCAGCAAATTTCGTAACCCCCGCTTGCCCAATCCCCCCCTCTCGCCCGGCCCGAGACTTGGGCGGTGGGGGAGGGGGCACACGTGCACGGAGAGGCCATGCCGGGGGCACCGATGCGGAGGGGCGGGGGGAGGGGACCACACGGGATCTGCCCGAACGCACGGGTGGGCTTGTTTTCCGCCGCCACCACTCGAGGTAGGAGGGGGAGGGGGTCCTCCTCCTCCCCCTCTTCCTCCACCTCCTTCCTCCACCCCCTTTCCCCCCTCCAACTTATGGTAGTGGTGGTGGAAAACAGGCCCGTCAGCCCAGAGCTGCGTCCAGTCGAAGCGTGCAGGGGGCGCGCTCGACCAGCGCGGGCTCCAGGTCCGATTCCCTTCCGAAGCCGGAGCAGCCGACACGGGGCGCGGGGCCTGTGGGCGCGCCGCGGGATGCGCCATGGGGCGCGCCAGGGAGATGCGCCAGGGGACGTGTCATGGGACTCGCGGGACGTGCCAGGGGATTGAGCAGGGATCGACCGTCCCGGCATTCATATAGGCGAACCACGACATGTTCTTAGAACCCAACTATGTTCTAGGAACCAAACAATGTTCTTAGAACAGTGACCCGATGCGTCAAAACAAGACAGTGCCCGTCAGAAAGGTTCCAAGAACATTTCGGGCAGACCGCAGAAGGTTCTCAGCACATTCTTTGGTGGGCCTTCAGGCGAGCCGGGACGCTTCGCCACTGCTTGAGGAAACGTGTCAGAGACCACGAAGCGTGCCCAGGCCAGGGGACGCCCCAGGGGACGCGTCGGGGGGCGCGGCAAGGGATGCGACATGGGGCGCGCCACGGAACCGCCCCCAGGGAAGCGCCATAGGGCGAGCCAGGACGCGCCCCGGGACGCGCCCTCTCGAAGTGCTGGGGGGGACGTGTCAGTGGACGCGCCAGGGGTCGTGCCAAGGGAAGCGCCAGGGAACAATCCAGGGAACGTGCCACAGAACGTGCCATGAAATGCGCCATGGAACGTCTCAGAGGCTGGCCGCAGACATGCCGGGGGACTTGACACAGAACGCGCCAGGGGACGAGCCAGGGGATGACCCACCTTGCTCTGTTGAGACTTCTCCTCTGCATCAACATTCCCAAAGCCGCGACGCCTCGCAACTTCTACCGGGTCCGCCCTCCAAGAGCCACGATCCCGTTCAAAGTACGCTGGATCCGAACTCCCAGCGCACGGATCTCTTCTAAGTGATCCTGGGTCAGCACTCGCATCGCCACAACCCGTGGTAGATCACCGCAGGCTCGCGCTCCCAGGGCCACGATCCACGGTCAATTACGCTGCGCCCGCGCTCCCAGGGCCACGATCCATGGCAAAGCGCGCTGCGCCCGCGCTCCACAGGCCACGATGCCTCGTGGCTTCCTTTGCGTCCGCGCTCGGCGAACCACGGTCCCTCGCAAATTACGCTGCGCCCCCGCGCTCCCAGGGCTGCGACCCCTGGCAGATCACGCAGGACCCCCGTTCCCGGGGCGTCCAGGGGGGCGCCCAGGGGGGCTGCCTGGGCCCACGGGCCCCACATCGTTCGCAGAGGACTCCGAGCGAGGGGCGCGCCATCCTCGCGCGGGCCCTCGCAAGATCGCAGCTCTTCTGCAAACTCTGCAGGCTAGGATTGTGGATGCCACGACCATGGACACCCTAACACTCCTATCATTGAATTTAAAGTGTGTTTATAATTTCGGAACATGTCCTGAAAATGCTAAACACATGCTTTTACAGGTCGAACATAAGTTTAACACATGTTCTAGACATCTGGAACTTATTTGGCAACATGCTTCCTCGCCGTTGATCCTCCTCCACAAGGGTAGGATCGCAAGACACAACAACGTGTCTCTTGCACAAGCTCTGCAGACTGCCGCGCGCCCCCCAGGAAAGACTCGGCGCCAACCCCTCTGCGCCCGGCTGCTGTGTTCTTCACGAGGGACACGGGGGGGTCTAAGGACCCGGCGTCCATAGAGGATCCGACCTGGGGGGTGCACCTCTTCTGAGCGGACACTCTTTGGGAATGGGACGTCGCAGTTGGCTTCTCATCGAGTGGGATACTGGCTTGCCCCCCTACGCGCGCATGACACGCCAAACAAGTGAACTTACTGACAGCCAGCCTGGAGCCCACGTCCTTCACGGAAGAAGAACAGTCACTGGGCCTGCTGGTGGCCTGGGGCGCACCAGGCGGAGGGGGAGGGGGGAGGAGGAGGAGGAGGAGGAGGAGGAGGAGGAGGAGGAGGAGGAGGAGGAGGGGGAGGAGGAGGAGGAGGAGGAGGAGGAGGAGGAGGACGAGAAGGAGAAGGAGGAGAAGGAGGAGGAGGAGGAGGAGGAGGAGAAGGAGCAGGAGGAGGAGGCGGAGGAGGAGGACGGAGCCGCTCGCCCACGCGCGCACTGGACCCCCTGGCCCTCCTTGCCCCGCACGCGCACGCCCCACGCGTACCGGCGCACACAGGCGCTCCTGCAGCGCGCTTTTGCGCTCGAACGCACACACACACACACTCACACACACGCACGCGCACACCCACACGCACACGCACACGCACACACACACACACACCAGTACCATCATAATCAGCAGCAGCATCACCATCATCATCATCATCAGCATCATCATCAGCATCATCATCATCGTCATCATCAGCATCAGCATCATCATCGTCATCATTAACATCATCAGCATCAGCCTCAGCATCAGCATCAGCCTCAACATCAGCATCACCATCGTCGTCAGCATCATCGTCATCATCAGCATCATCATCAACAGCAACGTCATCACCATCATCGCCATAATCATCAGCATCATCAGCATCATCAGCATCATCAGCATCCTCACCATCAACATCACCATCACACGCACACGCACATACACGCACACACGCATGCGCACGAACGGTTCCTCCGTTCCCAAGGCTGTCCACAGCGACACCACAACCAGAACCCCACAGAACCGACAGCGAAACCGAAACCGACCGAGACAGGCGGGCAAAGCAGCTTAGTAAGTCGCGGCGACGCCGCAACGACACGAAAACCGACCGAGTTGAACCGACAGAGCGGAGTCGACTGCGACTCAGCCGAACAGACTGAACCGCTTGGTGACACCCCTGGTGGATGTCGGGCCTCAACGGCCGTTCGGGACTACCCCGGCATCCCCAGAACGCTCTCGACGAGGCACAGCTGATCAAAACCACACAGAATCTCGAAAACCCCAAACATTGAGAACACTACAGAAATGTCCTGGAACCTTCCGCCAGTACTTTGTTCCCGCTTCCCACTCCACCCTCCATATCCCCACCGCCGCTGGCACGCTGGTCCCGCGCGTCCACCTTGAACGCGCCGCTCTTCTCGCGGATCTCGATGATGGTCTGCGCCTGCTTGCCTATGACCTCACTCGCCGAGAACGAAGGAAGAGGAGAAGGGGCGGGAGGGAACTGGAGGGGTAGGATTAGGACGGTTTGAAGGGTTAGGGTGGGGGAGGGGGAGGAGGTTGAGGGAGCTCGGGAGGGGCAGGAGGGCGGGAGGATGAAAGAAAAGGATGGCTGTGGGGGGAGGTGGCCGAGGCGGAAGGTCAGTGGTGACGAAAGAGGGCTGATGATGAGGATGGGGGTAAGCCGAAAGAGGACTACGACGAGGAGGGGGACGAGAAGGAGCGGTGGGAGGAGAAATAGCAGAAGGAGGGAGGAGGAAGGGGGGGAGGGAGAAGATGAGGAGAAAAGGAGGAAGAAAAAGGAAACACTATCACTATGTGTGCGTCGCGAGGAAGTGAAAAAATACGGAAAGAAAGACAAGCGGAAACTACGGAAGGGGACGCATATGCGTACACCTCTGACACGCGATTCGCGTGATACAGATGCGCACCGCAGTCAGGATTGCAATGCACATGACTCGTCGAACACTTGTTCAGCCCCTTCTGACCCGTTTGGTACTTCGATAAGTATCAGCATGGCAAGTCTGCCAACACATATACAATGTATGAAACGACTCTAATGGTAATGTGTGCGCCCGTACTCCTTGTACAGCTGGTGCTTCTAGCACCTAGAACTCCCAAGTCCCATGCAAGTCTCAAGCTTGACACATGGCTTGAGCTCTGATGACAAAGATGACTTGGCCCAATGTCCCAAATGCCTTCGCTACTTTAGATGTTCACCCCTTCTGGTCCCGTGTCATACCCATACACGCCCAACGCACAATGCACACCGGCGGGCGATCTCCCCTGTGCCCTGCAATTCCTTCCCAGCTCTGCGACCCACGGGCGACGAACCCATCCACACCAACCCGCTCGCGGCCTGGATGAGCAGGCGAGATATGCGCCACCTTGGGGCCCTCGACAACGAGTGCGGGCCTTGACCAAGAATTCACGTTGGTTACGTTGTGGTTTGTGTACGCTGTGGTTCGCTGTGCGCTGGTACGCTGTGGTTTCACGCTGTGTCGTCGACCCTGTTTGGTGCCCGCCGTGGTGTAAGTGACGCTGTGGTTGATGCATGGTGTGTGATGTGTTTGTTATGTAATGGTGTACGCTGTGTCTGTGTACGCTGTGAGTTGGCGGGTGTCTCCAGGTTGTGTTCTTATGGTGTGTATCCTGCGTTTGTTTCTCGACCTTGCGTCCCACGTTGTGGCTATCCTGCTTGTGGTTATGCTGCTGTGGTTCTTCCGATGTGATTATTCCATTGGAAATCCGTTCTACCCTGTGTTGTTGATTGTTTTCCGCTGTGGTGTCTACGCTGTGTGTTCTACGCCGTATGTTTAGCGCTGTGGGTTCGATGCTGTGGTTTGTACGCTGCGGTGTCGACGCTGTGTGTTCCACGCTGTGATGCTTTACTCTGTGTTGTTGGTACGCTGTGGCTTCTACGCAGTGAGAGTTTACGCTGTGCGTTTGTGGTGTGATTTCTAATGTGTTTCCATTTCAGTATCCGAGCGTGTGTGTCTACGTTGTCTTTCCTATGGTGCTACGTATACGCTGTGGAGTCCTTGGTGTGGTTCCGCTGTTGCGGGTTGTGCGCTGTGTTTTCATGAATGTGGGTTCTACCCTGTGTTGCTCCGCTGTGGTTGTTACGCTGTGCTGTTGCACGATGTGTTTGGGCACGCTGTGTTCTACTATCTTGTTATCACGTCGTGACCCCTACAATGTGATTCCTACGTTGTGGTTCCCTACGTTGTCTTCAAGCGTGGTGGTTATGGTGTGATTGTTCTCCCGTGTGTGTTCCACGTTGTGGTGTCAACGCTGCGTCGTCTGCGCTGCGATTACACGTTATGGTGTCTGCGTTGTTCTTCTAACGCTGTGCTGTTACGCTGTGTTTCTACGCTGTGTTAGTTACGCTGGGATAGTTTACGCTGCGTTTGGCTTACGCTAGGCTTGATCACTGTCTTGTGTTTACGTTGTGATTTGGGTTGTGTGTTCTGCGTTGTGCATCCAGTGTGCCACGTAGTGCTTCGTACCGTGTGTGTTTTCTGCGTGTGGCTCTTATGTTGTGGTTCGCCCATTCGGGAGCTTTTCCACGCTGTGTCGTTGTTACCCTGTGGTTTGGGTGGTGTGTTCTACGTTGTCGCTCCTATGTGGCAATTCCAAGGTTGTGCTGGTAACGCTGCTGGTTCCACGTTGTGATGCCTGCGCTGTGTTTCATACGCTGCGGTTTCTACGCTGTGCCTTGTACCCTCTGGTTTCTACGCTGTGTGGTTGTACGTGCGTTGTGCTGTTTACGCTGTGGCGTCCACGTCCTTTCCCCTGTTCAGGTTTCGACGTCGTGCTTCCACGCTGTGTGTTCATTATTGTGGCTCCTGCGGTGTGGTTTCTGCGTTGGAGTTTTCTATGCGTGTTACGCTGTGCTGCTCTGTGTGGTTCACACTGTGTGGTTCTACGTTGCTGTTCCTATGGTGTGCCCCTAGCCCACTACCCCCCGAAAAGGGGAAATTGCGGATGATGGCGATGAGGCGGAAGACCATTATGTTTCGGGCGATGTCGGCAATGATGCAGACAGCGGTCATGATGAACATGTTGATGGTGATGATGGGCCCGCCAAGGCCTCCGGATTGCCCCAGGGGGCAACACCACGTAAGTAGCACCACGTAAGAAAACACCACGCAAACCACACAGCGTAAAAACACACAACGTACAAATCATAGCGTTTAACACACAGCGTGGAAACACAGCCTTAACAACCCAGCTCAAACAACACTACGTAACAAGCACCACGGGACGCACACCCACCACGTTAAACACACACACACACACAGCGTAGAAACACAGTGCGAACAACACAGCGTACAAGAACACCACACAAAAGAAGCACAGCGTAAAACCAAAGCGAAGACATAGCACTGCACCTCTGAAATACATGACCGCCCCTCGCGCCGCGCGAACTAGCCATCGTACGAACCCCCAAACACTACAATCAAAGCGCCACGTAAAACACAGCAGCACGTAAGCGCAGAGCATTAAAACCACACAGCGTAGACAACCCCAAACGGCCGTGCAACTTTGAAGTAGCTGAACATTATTGCGTGGCGGCTCTTTGCAACGCGCAAACTAGCCCCAGCGCAAACCTCATGCAAGTACATGATCAAAGAACCACCGAGCAACACACTGTAAAACCGCAGCGCGGGAAATACCAAGTATCAAACGTTACGCGGCACTGCAACTTTGAAGATGTGGGTCATGATACTTGCATGTGTTGTTTTTGTAACGGTGCCAGCGTCGCGCGAACAAATCACACTCCACAACACGAGTACATAGAAACAACACAGCACGAACAACAAAACAACGGAATGACACTACGTGAACACGCAACGTGAAACCACAACATGGAACACACAGGAACAAGTACAAGGGATAAAGCATACTGTAAAAAACACTCAATCTACAAAACAAAGCTTGATAACAAACGAACCGCAGAGCGCACACCGTAAACAACACACGGTCACAACATAGGATACACTCTAGGACACACTATCAAGCACACAGATAAGAGAGGCAAGTCGTGAGAAGTACAGCGTCAAAGCCACAACAGAGAAACCACACCGTCGAACACACAACGAACAACATCACAACGAAACACACATACCACAGCGTAAACACACAACGTAGAAGCCACGACGTAACTATAACTCACTTGACAACGTAACGTAGAAACCACCAACTGAGAAAAACACACCGTAAACAACACACCGTAAATCACACACCAGAAACACCACACTGCAAACAACACACCGCCAACCAACACGCCGCCAACCAACACATCGTACACAACACACCGTAAACAACAAACAGTCAGCAACACCCTGTAGCAACCACAACGTCAACAACACAGCGTTGAAACTCACCGTAAACAAACACGACGTAACACACAGAGCACAACATAACAAAACACGCATACACAGCGTTTAACACCCTGCGTGATCTTGGTTAATGTGTAAGTAAGCTTCGCACAACACTTTTAAGACTACCCTTGCTCGACACCGATAATGACGTAACCCAACCAAACCCTGCATTGCTCGGCACACCAGCAGCCATCCAGACACCGCCCCTGGATCCAGCAGTGCCAGCGGACGTTGCCGAGCATACGGGCGCGAGGCTACTGGCGCCTTTGGAATTGGAGTACTGCTAGATGCAAGGGGTCCTGGAACACGTGACGGGCACCGCGCTGCCTCCTCCTCCTCCTCCTCCTCTTCCTCCTCTTCCTCCTCTTCCTCCCTCCCTCCCTCCCTCCCTCCCTCCCTCCTACTCCTCCTCCTCCTCCTCCTCCTCCTCCTCCTCCTCCTCCTCCTCCTCCTCCTCCTCCTCCTCCGCTGCCACAAGATCCCCGTAACTCAACCAACAGGGCCGATCTCTCGTCGCGAGTCGTGCCTCCAACGCTGCCGGGGCCCGAGGCGCGCCCCGCGGAGCGAGACACCAAGCAGCCACAAAGATCCCTTCCACGACGCCCAGGAGGCAGTGGGTCCTCCTTCGCCTTAGGCGTTGCTTAGAGTGGTGGGCGATCGGCGGGGGTGCAAGGAGGCGTGCCCAGGTCCAGCTATCCGAACGCTCGACGAAGAGACGAGGCTCCAAGAAACGCCCAGGGTCAAGTCCAGATCCTCGGTTTTCTCGAACGAAACCAAGGGCCCATGACGATTCTTTCTTGCTTCTGCGATGTCTGATGGGTGTACCCTCCTTCGCCCCCTCCCCCCCGTCTGCCGCCCCCCCACCACGCATCGCCCGCTGTCCCCCTCCATCCCCCCCTCTCCGCCGGCAGCCCGTCGACGTTTTCCCTCGACGCGCGCCCCGCCTCCGCATATGACCCGTCCGCTCGCCACCGCTCGGACGTCCGTTCCTCGCGCCCTGTTCGGCTTCGGGCGCCTACTTGTTCGTAAGATGACCCAGCCTGCTCCTCAAAAGGGCCCTCGCCGACGAAAGAAAACGCACACGTCCGAGAGATGCCGAGCCCTGGCGCCACACCCAACGGGTGGCACGCTGCACCCCGGGCGCGCGCCGCGCGCGCGCGGCCGGGCCGGCACAAGAGGCGCGGCAATCACGGAGGGCCCGGGGAGGAGGCGAGGAGGCGAGGCGGAGAGGAGGAAGGGAGGAGGAGAGGAGGAGAGGAGAGGGAGGAGAGGGAGGAGAGGAGGCGAGGAGGCGAGGAGGAAGGGAGGAGGAGGAGAGGAGGAGAGGAGAGGGAGGAGAGGGAGGAGAGGGAGGAGAGGAGGAGAGGAGGAGAGTAGGAGAGGAGGAAGGGAGGAGAGGAGGAGGAGGAGGGGGAGGAAGGGAGCCAGGCGCCGGCACGAGCACCTGCGCGAGGCGCCCGGGAGGCTCCTCCAGGTGGCGTGGCCACTCGGGGGGAACGGAACGGGGGGGATGGCAGAGGGTAGGGCAGAGAATCACCTCGCGTGGCTGATTTTCCCAGGGCCTCTCGGCGCCCGGAGGCGCCCATGCATCGAGGAATGGGCCCGCGGCCGGGGCCGAAACCAGCTGCATGCCGCAGATTTCGCAACCCCCCCTTTCCCTATCCCCCCCCCTGTCGTTCGGCCCGAGCCACCCCTACCTCGGTCGAGGCCTCCCCGCACCCAACGGCCAGTCGGAAGGGCGGGCCGGGCGTGTCGCGCGAGACTCCTCACCATCCGTGATCCTAGAATTCCACAACTCGGGGGCGGGCAGCTTCCAAAATGTGGCTCTCGCCGGAGCGCCGCGCCACTTCGTCAACAGAGATCTAAAGCGCTTCACGGGCTGCGGGCGGGCCGTCTTCAAGATGTGGCTCTCGCCTTGGCGCCGCGCGCATTCGATTAGACATTGCAGCAGTTATAAGGATTGAAGGCGGCTTATTTCCAATTGTGGCCCTCGCCTTCGCGCCGCGCACATTCGTTGAAACATTTGCAAGAGTTCCACGGGCTCCCATGGTCAACGTACCAAGTACGGTGTCTTGGAACGTTTTAAGATTCTCGGTGCGCAGCAGTTCCGTTGATTCGCGGTGTTGAAGTCGCAGGAATGGCGTTCGGGGACGATTCAGGATCGTCAAAACGCAGCAGTCAAATTGATTCGTGGCGCTGGAGTCCTGAGAATGGTGTTTTGGCACGCTTCAACATCTTCAACCGGTTGTCTCCCATCGGGGCACTTCCCGCAGTGGAAATGATTCCTTGCAGGGGCCCGCGAAGAGGGAGCTTGGAGCGAGGGTGTATTCCAACATCGTTGGTGAGCCTTGGGCTTGCACTGGTCCCCCTCCTCCTCCTCACCCTCCTCCTCCTCCACCTCCTCCTCCTTCTCCTCCTCCGCTACTGCTCCCACACCTGCAGGGTGTCGATCGATCATCGGCGCGCGCACGCCGAAGACCGCGAGGGAGGGATGGGGGGAGGTCTAGATTTGTCTTCGAACCTGGAGCCCGACTTATGGAGCATCGTCCCTCGCGCCGCAGCGTTCACGCCCACCCCTGGCAATTCTTGGTCATTGTCCCACATGCGCTACCGAATAGAGAAGGACAGGGAGGGGGAAACAACTCAGAAGAAGGAAGTAGGGACGGCGCTGGAGAAAAATGCCCCCCAATCTCACGTCATCGTCGGCTTCTCTGGCTTCTGCAACCGCGGCCAAGACTTGGTCTCCACCACCGCGTCGATGATCCCGTACTCGACGCCCTCCTCGGGGGTCATGAAGTAGTCGCGGTCGCAGTCCTTCTCGATGACGTCCTGCGGCTTCCCGGTGAAGTCTGCGAGGTGCACGTTGAGGATGTCGCGCAGGAACAGGATCTCCTCGGGCGGGCAGCCAATGGGGGGGGTGGCCTGCATGATGGGGGGGTGAAGCAACGAGCCCTCCGAACGGTGCCCCTCCAGGGTCCTCTTTGGGGCCCCTGCGGGCTCCCAAAGGGGCCCCAAAGAGGCAGCCTCCGATCTGATCTTGGTCCATCCGCGATCCCAAAATCCCGCTCCCTTCCCTGGGGATCGTGTTTCGTCCTGGGGATTATTGTTTGAGAAGCCCTGGGCCCGATGACGGGACCCAGAGGCCGACATCGAGGAAAAACGCCCGGATTGAAGAAAGTCACCCCTTGGAGGTGAACAGATCTTTCATCGCCGACTCCGTCAACCACCGTCATGCTCAGGTATGGTGTTTGGTCACACCTCCATGCTTCGTGTGGCGTTTGGTCACACCTCTGTGCGTCGAGCGTTTCGAGTGACCTTCGTTCATTCCTCTTCTCCTGCCAGCGCGCCCACCTGGACGCAAGGCTTCTGTCTGTCCCATTGCCACCACCCGCCCGCTCTCCTTGGCCTGGATCTCTATGTCGGCCGCCTGCCCCCCCGCGCCTCCGAGGGGCTGGTGGATCATGATGCGCGAGTTGGGGAGCGCCTTCCGGGGGATCTGCAAGACGGCGTAAAAACATACCGATGAGCACAAGTCGTATCGGCGGCGAGCGACGGGGGGGAAGTGAGAGGGGGGAGGCCTTCTATCAGAAGGCTCGGGGGTCCCCTGGCCTCCTGAGAAGTTTGCTTAGGTCTTCCCCGAAGGCACCGACAACATCTGAGAAGGCGGCGGGGCTTCTCAGAGGCCCTCGCCGCCGAAGAATAGTCCTCCCCCTCTCACTTCACCCCCTCGCTCGCCGCCGAAGAATAGTGGGGAACGCTGCATCTGTTCCTTCTCCTGCCCCTGCTGTTTATCGTATCTGCTCCTCTCCCTTAGCCGAGCAGACCAGAATCATATATATATAATGTATATATATATAAATGAATAACAACAATACTAATAATAATAATAATAATAATAATAATAACAATATTATTACTATTAATAATAATACTACTACTGATTATAATAATAACAACAATAATAATACTAATATTAATAATAATGAGAATAATAATATATAAATATATATTGAAAAAAGGAGGCCAGCCTTCGAGCCCGAGAGATGGGCGGCCTGTCCCGCAGAGCCGTCACGCAGGAGACGCCGGGCCAGCTTTTGTAAGAGGAGGTCTACTGACGATCTGCTCGGCTGCTGCCAGAGGTCCGCGCCGATGCGTTGGGTCGGCGGGGCCGCTGGCGCCGCCCACAGCGCGCTCCGCGCACCCTGGGCGCTGACCCCCCCTGTGGCGGGGCCCCTGGCGCCGTCCCCAGCCCGCTCCGCTTGCTCCAGGGGAGCAAGGAGACAGGCGCGGACCTCCGACAGCCCTCAGAGTAATTATGCAAGTTGCTTTCTGCCAGGGCCTTGCGCTTCCCCTTGGTGCCCGCGCCGAGCAAGAACGCGCCCATCGACGCCGCCATGCCGAAGCACACCGTGTTCACGTCGCAGGGCACGAACTGCATGGTGTCGTAGATCGCCAGCCCCGCGGAGACGGATCCACCCGGGGAGTTGATGTATATCGTGATCTCCTTCTCGCTATCCTTGTTCGCCAGGTAGAGCATCTGCGCGATGAGAACGTTGGCCATCTCGTCATTGACCTGGCCTCCGAGGATGAGGATCCGGTCCTGGAGGTACGGCCACAACCACATCTCCAATGCACTCGGGCTGCCTCTGAAGCCCAAGGAGGAGGCATGAAAGGGGGAGGAGGAGAAGAAGGAGCAGCAGCAGGAAGGAACTGGACAGGGGGAAGAGACGGAGGGGGAGAACGGGGGGGGGGAGGAGGAAGCGGAGCAGGAGGCGGAGGAGCGATCCCACAGTTGGAGGAGGCGGTCTCCACACCCTGGCGCCGTCTTCGGCGACGTCCCGGGGGGCGCTTCGCGCCCCAGGGTTGAGGCGTTGAGAGCGCCCTGGGCGATGCTCGGGGGGGCTGCTGAGGCCAGCCGGGACTGTCTCGGATCTCAGGGTTTTGACTCGGATTAAAGCTCTGGCGGGGCATGCGGGGGGGGGCTCAACGCCTATCTGCGCTGCGGCTGGCGCTTAGGCCACAGCGCGACACCAACAATGCATATGTGGCTGGGCCTCGACCAGGGGCATAATTTCGAATCTACGGTCTGGGACTTCTGCACTTTTGCTTGGCGTGTAGCCATGGCGGCCCCGGAGACACGCTACGCCCTGCAAGCGGATAACGTGTCGCTCTGCTCCGCGGGGCGGGAAGCCGGGAAACGCTCCAGGCGTTGACTCTCACAGACTGGGTAGCGTGTGGCGCTGGAGCGTGGTGGGCGAGAACTGAAGGACGACAGGCAAACGAAAAGCCCTCGACCGCAGACGAGCCAAACACACACCAGAGCTGCTCGCCACTGCTGTTCCTGCGGGTAGGGCGCGACTGGAGCCCACCGGCAGCGAGAATGACGGATCACCTCCCGCGGCAGAAGGTGAACGGTTGGGGTGGGGTTGTCCGCGTCTGCGGTGGGGAAATGACATTCCCTGATATCCGATATTACGAAACAGTTGCGATGTCGGGACGAATCATGACCAAAATCCTGCGCCCCATCTTGTTGCGGCATTTTCCAAGCGGGATCGATACGTGACGTCCCCGACCCTGGAAACGGGCGAAAACTCCCAATGAACAAACATGCGACGCTTAGAATTCAGGGTTAGTGCCTGCTTGACTTTCTTTTGCAGCTGGGACCGTCCGTCCCAGCGATCCTGCAGGCCTACCACGATATGCTCGTAGAACAAAAATGCTCGAAGACTGAACAATGCTTTTCGAACAGAAGCCTCATGGATGAGCAAAAAGCCGGCTTCAACCAAATGCGTCTTAATACCATGCCGCGCAAACCACACGACGTGTCCGGAACATCTCTTGGGGGGGTCTGCAAGCCTGTAAGCAGGTCAGAACGCCGCAGCGGTGCTCGCTATATCTACATGAGATCCTGCAGCAGGCGCGACATCACGTCGATCTCCCCCTTGCCCGTCGAGATCATCGGGATCCGCACGGGCGGCGTCTGCGGCTTCTCCGGGGCCTTCTCGGGCTCGGCGGCCGCCGCGGCCCTGGAGCCTCTCCGCCGGGAGCGGGACGACCTGGGCGGCGGGTCCTCCTTCAAAATTCTCCCCCCCCCCCCCAGGGGAGTCCTCCTTCAAAATTCGCCCTCCCCCCCAAGGTGAGTTCTGCTTGTGAGGAAAATGCAAAAAGGCCGCGCGAGGCGACAGGGAAACCAGGTTACGTCGGGCCCACGTCGGGCCTAAAGTCGGGTCCGCGCCGGGTCCATATGTCGGATCCCCGTCCGATTCACACCGTGCTGACGCCGGACGCACGTTGGAGCCTCGCTGCGCGCACGTCGCCCCAGAGCTGACGGGGCGAGCGTGTGGACCGGATGACACAAGTAGTGCGCGCCGCGCGGAGCCTCCAGGGATGCGCCTCCGATGCATCCCCCTCAGAAGTCGCCCCCGATGGACCTTGCCAGGGAGAAGAATTTCGGCCATGACCTCGAACGGATTCCAAAAAGCAGCTGGCGCGCGAGTGTGGCGCCGGTGCCCGTCTGCGCACGGCGTCTCCCCAACAGCCCAAAGAACGCTGCCCCAAAGGCCGTTCCTCCTTCCAATGCCGAGATCAAAAAGGGCTACGCGCCGCAGACGTGCCATGGGGCATTCAAACCACAGGCGCGTTCCCGACCTCATCTGGCATCACAGGCGACGATTCCCCGTTCATTGTGGGGGCATGACTGGTATCCATCTTTCCAATGCGTTTTGGACTTGCTGGGAAGGGCCGCCGGAAAGGCTGAGCCGCATTGGATGTGATACGGACAACAATCAAGGAGCCACATTTTGATCCATATCCTCCAATACGCCTGGGGGTTCTCGGGAGGGAAGCCCACAATAACTCCAAGATGTAGCGGGATGAGACATCGGTCGTTCCTGCACCTTGGCACGTGCTTGTCGTGAGCGTGGCGCGTCCAGGGCACGCGTGGCTCCTCGGCAGGGGGAAGATTTTGTGTTCCTTTTCCCCCTTCGATCATCTGGGCGCTGCGCGGCCCAGCGCCGCCCGAGAGGTCCGCACGGAGCCTCGGAGCGTGCCGGGCGGCGCGCATGCTGCTGTGGCTCCGTTTGCAGTTCAGGGCATGTGGGGAAGCCGCCCTCGTGGCCATGTGGAAGAAGCGAAGCAGGGGGAGAAGGAGGCGGATGAGGAGGAGCTGAACACCAGTGGAAAGACAACAGCTTCATATCGGGGAGACGTAAGACTCGGGTACGGGGGACTCGGGTTGGCCTGACGGGGGCCATCATAAAGATGACGAGACCCAATCTGAAATTTGACGCGGGCTCCCGCTGCAGACATCCCACGAAAACGGGACCGTCAAAAGTCAGGACGCGCTCGTCAAAAAAAATCGGCTAACCCGAGTTCCGGCTTACCCGAGTCTTACGTTTTCCCGACCATAGACTGCAGGATGCTCGGCAGGCCAGGCGAGGTCGACCCTCGCTCGGCGCTGTGCTGCCCGCTCCCGCGCTGCTCCGGCGGCCGTTGCTGCCACGGCCCGTCGCTCGCGGCGCGGGCTCCGAGCCATGGCTTGCTGCTGCTTGGCCTCAGCTCTGCAGTGGGCCGTGCCCTGCAAACTAATCAAAAGCCTGGGGGCGGGAGCGGGGGAGAGGCGGGCGGGAGGGGAGAGAAGCAGAAAATCCGCCGATCCGGTGTGTGAGTTTAAGGGAGGGGGTGGGGGTGACCGGGGTGGCTTTGCCGGGGAGGGGGAAAGGGGGGGGAGGGGGGGGGGTCCGGTGGCGTGGGTTCTGGTGGCGTGGGTGGGGGTCCCAGGGGGGTTCCGCTGGCGTGGGTTCTGGTGGCGTGGAAGGGGAGGGGGGGTCCGGTGGCGTGGGTTTGGCTTTGAAAACCACTCGATTTCCTTAGAAACCGCCTCAGAACGCTTGGTTTGCCGGGGAGGGGGGGGAGGGGGAAGGGTTCCGGTGGCGTGGGTTCTAGTGGCGGGGGGGGGGGGTTCTGGTGGCGTGGGCTTGCTTTATAAAAACCATTGGATTTCGTGAGAAATCGCCTCGGAACGCTTGGTTTGCCGGGGAAGGGGGGGGCGCGATCATTGGCAGCCGGCGTCACTCCAACCGTTGCCGGTGTCGCGACGACAGAACCGCACCACGCGCGGATCCCGCAGCAGAACCTAGCCAGGGCCACCCGAGATCTCTTGGGCACTCGGCCCACAACGCGCACTAATTTTAGCCACTGTGGATACGGACAGAAGGCCACCACGCCAATGCCACTACATGTCAACTGACCCCTAGCTGCGACAAAAAATCGCGTTGCACAGACCGCCAAGGACTTGGCATGACCGCCCCGTCGAAACCGCTCGTTGTTTAGAGAAGTCGCTGGGCTGGCCCTTGGGGGGAGGAGGAGGAGGAGGAGGAGGAAGAGGAGGAGGAGGAGGAGGAGGAGGAGGAGGAGGAGGACATGCAGAAGGAGGAAAATGAGAAGAACGAAGGACCATAAAAAAACGAGGAGAGATGGATGGGAAAGAATAAGAGGAGCATGAGGAGAGGGAGGAAGGATGACAAGGAGGATGCGTCGATCCTCCATCCTCGGACCCTCAGTACCACGCCCTACCGAGATATGAAGGTTTTTTCGCCCCTTTGCTGGGAACGGACACAGAGGGAGAGAGAGAGAGAGAGAGAGAGAGAGAAAAAAAAAAGGACTTGTTGTCCCAGATGTTTGGCTTCAACTGCTTTCGTTTCGTCCCGGACTTTCGGCGGCAGGTTCCAGGCCGTCGTCCCCGATTTGCGGACCGCACTTACGCTTCACGCATCCCTGCCAACCTGTCCAGAATTCACGCCCACACTAGTTAAGGTGAGGAGAGGAGCGACCAATTATCCTGGCGAAGGACCCAACCATAAGCAATTGTTTGTCACGCGTTGTGGGTGCCGCTTTCGGTGGGGCTCCCCATGGGGCCACGAAGCGCTGCCTTGGGTGTGGGAACCGCATGCGAACTGTGCCACTGGGGCAGGCCTTCGGTGGAGCACCCTATGGGGCCACGAAGCGCTGCCCTGGGCGGGGGAACCGCATGCGAACTGCGCCACTGGGGCCTTCGGTGGAGCTCCCTATGGGGCCACGAAACGCTGCCCTGGGTGGGGGAACCGCATGCGAACTGCGCCACGGGGGCCTTCGGTGCAGCTCCCTATGGGGCCACGAAACGCTGCCGTGGCTGGGGGAACCGCATGAGAACTGTGCCACTGGGGCCTTCGGTGGAGCTCCCCATGGGGCCACGGAGCGCTGCCCTGGGTGAGGGAACCACACGCGAGCTGCGCCACTGGGGCCTTCGCTGGGGCTCCCTATGGGGCCACGAAGCGCTGCCCTGGGTGGGGGAACCGCATGCGAACTGCGCCACTGGGGCCTTCGGTTGAACTCCCTATGGGGCCACGAAGCGCTGCCCTGGGTGGGAGGAACCGCATGCGAGAGCAGCCACTGGGGCCTTCGGTGGAGCTCCCTATGGGGCCACGAAACGCTGCCCTGGGTGGGGGGATCGCATGCGAGAGCAGCCACTGGAGCCTTCGGTGGAGCTCACTATGGGGCCACGAAACGTTGCCCTGGGCGGGGGAACCGCATGCGAGAGCAGCCACTGGGGCCTTCGGTGGAACTCCATATGGGGCCACGAAACGCTGCCCTGGGTGGGGGAACCGCATGCGAGAGCAGCCACTGGGGCCTTCGGTGGGGCTCCCTATGGGACCACGAAATGTTGCCCTCGGCGGGGGAACCGCATGCGAGAGCAGCCACCGGGGCCTTCGGTGGCGCTCCCTATAAGGCCACGAAACGCTGCCCTGGGTGGGGGAACCGCGTGCGAGAGCAGCCATTGGGGCCTTCGGTGGAGCTCCTTATGGGGCCACGAAACGCTGCCCTGGGTGGGGGAACCGCATGCGAAAGCAGCCACTGGGGCCTTCGGTTGAGCTCCCCAAGGGGCCACGAAGCGCTGCCCTGGGTGGGGGGACCGCATGCGAGACCAGCCACTGGGCCTTCGGTGGAACTCCATATGGGGCCACGAAGCGCTGCCTTGGGCAGGGGGAACCGCATGCGAGAGCAGCCTCTGGGGCCTTCGGTGGGGCTCCCTATGGGGCCACGAAGCGCTGTCCTGGGTGGGGGAACCGCATGCTGGAGCAACCGCTGTGGCCTTCGGTGGATCTCCCTATGGGGCTACGAAACGTGTGAGGGGTGTGCCGAGAGCAAAGGCAAGGAGGGGGAGGAGGGAGGAGGGGGAGGAGGGAGGAGGAGGAAGGAAAGTGGGACGCGGGGCACTGTCTTTTCAAAACGAAGACCCAACACCACAGGATGGTTGGGAAACAATAGCCTTGCGAAGGACCCAACCACATGCAGTTGTGAGTACCGCCTTTGTGAGCAACGTATTCGGCGGGGTTCCCTATAGGGCCACGAAATGGTGTCCAAGGTGGGGGGACCGCGTGCGAATACAGCCACTGGGGCCTTCGGTGGAGTTCCCTATGAAGCCACGAAGCGCTGTACTGGGTGGCGCGGAGAGCATGCGAGCACCCCCACTGGGGCCTTCGGTGGAGTTCCCTATGGGACCATGAAACGCTGCCCTGGGTGGGGGAACCGCATGCGGGCACCCCCATTGGGGCCTGCGGTGCAGCTCCCTATGGGGCCACGAAACGCTGCCCTGGGTGGGAGGAACCGCATGCGGGCACCCCCGCTGGGGCCTACGGTGGAGCTCCCTATGGGGCCTCGAAGCGCTGCCCTGGGTGGGGGAACCGCATGCGAGAGCAGCCACTGGGGCCTTCGGTGGAGCTCCCTATGGGGCCACGAAACGCTGCCCAGGGTGGGGGAACCGCATGCGAGAGCAGCCACTGGGGCCTTCGGTGGAGTTCCCTATGGCGCCACGAAGCACTGGAGCCTTCGGTGGAGCTCCCTATGGGGCCACGAAGCGCTGCCCTGGGTGGGGGAACCGCATGCGAGAGCAGCCACTGGGGCCTTCGGTGGATCTCCCTA